GGTGGTGAATTTCCTTTGTTTTTTCTTGGCCATTGATCGTTTGTGTTAATTCCTGGCTGGGCTCGTGAGGCCTGAAGTGACTGTTGTGTGTCTGTGTCATGACTGAGGGGGACCTGAGCCAGGACTCACCAAGTGGAACTGCACAACTGGCTACACAGACCTGGGGTGTTCTCAAAGAGAGATGCATTGTGGGAGTCACGTCAAGCAGAGAGTTGCCTGTTGATGGACAGAGCAGAGCACGCACAGTCCTGCTGCTCCCCCTGCTGGTGCTGAGGTGTTGAACTGGTGAACTGGTGGGATGTTGAATTGGTGGTGTCACAGTGTGATGAAAGAAAAGTTGAGAAATAATGAGTGGTCACACATTTTAATGGGTAAGCATGACATTTAACCTGAGACAACTTGCTGATCTAACACTAAACTGCAGAACTGAAGCAACATTTCACAGATATGACAACTGGCTATGGCGACCTTTTAGACACAAGTTTACCCAACACAATTCTTATAATAAACCACAAGGTATACAGTAAGTACAAAACAATTATATGCTCAGCAAAGACATTAAGATAAAAAAAGATATTAGCACAAGTTATCTGAGACCTTTTTTACTCTGCCAGGTGTCCGTCTGTGTCACAAATTTAGCTCTCACTGTAGCAGTGATCTGTCACAACAGCCTTTCAACTCTTCACCTGCTCTTTGGCATTGACCAATTCCCCCATTGTGCTGCTCTCTTGTGATTGTCATGATGAGAGCTATCGAGTCCAGTCCTTTAAATTAAAAATGCTCAGAAACTTAAATAATTCAGCTTGCAATTTCAGCAAAGAGGGTGGTGATCCCAAGCTAATTCATTCTGTCCTGTTCCTCCTGTTAAAGATGTTGTCCAGTTCTGGGTGCAGTAGAGCTGTCCTGTTCCTCCTGTTAAAGATGTTGTCCAGTGCTGGGTGCAGTAGAGCTGTCCTGTTCCTCCTGTTAAAGATGTTGTCCAGTGCTGGGTGCAGTAGAGCTGTCCTGTTTCTCCTGTTAAAGATGTTGTCCAGTGCTGGGTGCAGTAGAGCTGTCCTGTTCCTCTTGTTAAAGATGTTGTCCAGCCTGGGGTGCAATGGAGTTGTCCTGTCATGAAGTGTCCCAGATTCAGATATCAAAGCAATCGTAAAGTTGGCCTTGGTTTACCTTGGTTAATTCAGTTCTGGGTAAGAGATTAAGTATCAATCATTAGTCCATGTAGAAAGCATAAAACAGACAGGTAGGAGAAGAGAAGGAGAGATTAAACTGAAAAGAAGAGAGAAAAGGAGACAGAGGAAGAGGGAAGGTCGGATTGGAGCTAAGGATTTGAACCTTGTTAAGAGAGCTTGCTATTCTATGTTTTTTTGAGAACTCTGATTGCCTGTGTAAAGAATTGCTTGGTTAAAAACAGCCTCTCCTGGTTAGTGGGTGGAATTTTAGAATAGGGAGATAGGTTCCCATTCATTTTGTGGCATCCAGGTTTAAAACTTGAGAGATTTAACCGCAGGTCGTATTCTGTTTAGTTTAGAAGGCAGCAAATCTTTTCTTTTGACCTTTGTAGGCACTGTTTAAGAGTTAAATACTTAGTAACAGTCTGGGGTTTTCTGGGTGATTAGGATGTTAGGCCTCTCGAATGTGTAGTGTATAAACGTCTAAATACTGTAGCACTACGTGTGTGCTGTATGTTTATGTTAAGCATAGATACAGTGTCATGGCTAATAAGTATTTGTTTAAACCCTTTTCCTGATGACCTGGCTGCAGGAGTGGTGTGTCCCTCACTGGCACCACATGCCTGTTAGTGCCCAGGCAGACACACAGGACTCAGACAGCTGACTGACTAATCCCACCCTGCCAGGCATTCCTCGGAGAGTCCTGGCCACAGCTAGTGGCATGACCCAGTCTCGAACCTGTGACCATAGAGCTCCACCTGCACTCACACCAGCTCCTTTACTACAGTAAGTCACTCAGAAGGCCCCACACACTGATTATTGGTTTGCATTTACATGCTAGAAAAACAAAACCTAAAAATAATCTGTTTTTTTCCCTTCTTCAGAAGCAGAATCATAACTGATTTACATTTTTATGTTAATAATGCAAAAGCTTCTCCGCTCGTGCCTCTTTTGCCGATACATTATCTTAAAATAATACCGGCACACAGGAGGCCGCTGAAGAAACACTGCCACACTTGTCTAGTGAGAATGATTGGTAGTCATCTGAGCCCTGCTGCATAGCAATGAGCTGCCTGACTGCCTGGGTGTCTACTGCTGTCTGTCAATGGATTTAAAAACAGCTGCTTCTCACATCAAGGACTGGCAGTGTCTGACAGCTGTCCGCTCAGTGGCTCTCTCCCCTGTCTCAGCTGCAGGGCGACTGTGGAGCACAAACACTCTTCTGTGCTCTTACAGCCCTGAAGGTCACTCTGCTTTCAGAGAAAGTGCATTCTCTCTCTCCCTGTCCCTGCAACCGGATCTATACTTCTTCCAGCTTCCTGTTCCGCACTCTACAGTGCTCTTCCATAACCTGCCTGAGTATGGAGAGACAGAATGCTTACATACAACAATGACACCGATATGCCTGTCTGATTGGAACAGAAGCTGACACATAACAACAGGAGAAAGGTTACAAGGGAGAGGAGGTCATAAGACCCATCTGGTCTGATAGGAGATAATTGATCCCAGAAACAAATGCAGCTGTTTGCTGAATGAAACCAGGGTATGGGCTTCAACAATGTGGCTGAGTGGGCTTGTTCCACACTACCACCAGCCTTCTTGTAAAGACATGCCCAAATCTTCTCGCTTTTAAATGCACGTCCATGTCCATTTCTACATGTGTCTTCAGGTTGGTGTTTCACTATTCGTACTGAAGGATCTCTCTGGGCTGATTTTGTCTGCCAGTGCCGTTGAGGATTATAAATACTTGTGTCTGGTCTCTGTTTGCAACAAAAAAGGTTCAGTTCCTTTAGTCTGGCAGTGTAGGACATTTCCTTGAGCTCCTGAAAAAGGTTACACATATTCTTAATTTACACATCAGTCAAATTTTAATATTTGTGTTGTGAGATACTTAAGACCCATAAAGGAGTGCCATGCAGGTCACAGAGTACTTCTCTAGGTCAGTGTAGCTTTGCCTATACTGGGCACCTGCCAATGGGAAACTTTTAGTTTTATTTTTCTGTCAGTCTTAATAGGAATAGGTGTTACTGTCATTATGAATGTGTCACTTTTAATGCTGCCTCACGTCTGTCTGTAATACGACATGTAGATTCGTGACGGTGGGAGTGACATCGGTGGGTTAAAGGCATGGCAACAGCATGCTAGTGGCTCTCTTGTATAATTACATTGTATCCAGGCCAGTACTCACTATGCCTGCCTCTGTCTGGAGTGAGGTCTTCCTCAGGTGTCTGTTTAGGATGTAATGGGGAATGTAATGTGATGCTTGGCTATCCTGCCCAGCAAATCAATGCTCCTAAATGTGGTCCTGTCCTTTTATGCAGCAGAGGTCGCTTGCTAATCAACTGGCTTACTTACACTTCTCTCCTTTCAGATGAAAGCTATTTGCTCTGAGATCTGCTTTTACACATGCTCATTCATCAGGGCTGCTGCTCTTTAGCCTTCATCTGGCTGAGCGAAAGCCTTTTATGCGATCAGCACTCATTCTCTCTCTCTCCTTTGACTTGGCACCTGGAGTTATTGTACAGTCAGGGGATGTTTTAATGTGACTGCCGCCAAGAACTGTCCACTCAACTTGCCTGTGGAAAAAATAGATCTGCCTGTGGAAAAAATAGATCTGCAGTGTTGAATCCCATACATCAAATCTGTGAGATCTGCTCAATTATAAAAATATAAGAAAGGGTCATTCAGCCAATCTAGTCCACTTGGTAATTAGTAGGTTATTGATTTATGGATATTGCTGAACAACATCTTGAAAGAAACCAGGGTATTTGCTACAACAACATGGCTGGGTATGTTGTTCCACACTCCCAGAAGTGCATTACAGAAGTGCCCAGAAGTTCTCCGTTCACCTGGGAACACACAGCACCATTCTGCACCAGCAGCCCCACCTGGAGACACACAGCACCATTCTGTACCAGCAGCCCCACTGGAGACACACAGCACCATTCTGCACCAGCAGCCCCACCTGGAGACACACAGCTCCATTCTACACCAGCAGCTTCACTGCAGAGCAGATCAGGGCAAGGAGAGAGAAACTGCTGCACATCTTTACATAGGGTCTGCATGAAATATAGTGATTTATACAGAGAATACAGAGAAAAGTGATTTCACAATAGGACATGGGACCCAAATAAACAATTATTTGAAGTTTGTGACGCATTTCCTATTTACTCTGGTTAGTAGTTTGAAAAAAATTGTCCTTGTACTTAAACCATTATTAAGACACATTTCATGTCACTATCATATTACATAGGCCACTGAGATTGCCATGTTCATGATATCATATATAAAAACTACACTTAATGTGAAACTAATTGCAGATTTCAACCCATTTAATTTGAAACCTTTGCTTTCAGCATTATAATAACTCATTGAAAATGGACACCTTTTTTTCTGTTCCTTATTGTGACCAAATCTGAGACAATGATTTAATGGGAGTGTCAGATGAGGGCAATAAGTTTTCTTGGAAATGAAACCAGGTATTTGGGGTCCGAAGCGAACACAGTATGCCCAGACATTCCAGTTTCGTACCCATGTCATTGGCTGACTAACACTAGGATTCTCTAATCCTTTAGGGAGCCCAGGGTTGAATTTAGCCAGGACACTGGCGTTAACCTTCCTGCATTATAGACAGGCCTGGGGTCTTTAATTAACTGAAACAATCAAGCAGATTATGACGTATGAGATAACCACTGCATTTTGAATTTGGCCCATTTAGAAAGTGCTTTTTTGGGAGTATAACTTTATGTGAATGTTAGCACATTCTCTTTATACAATTGTTGATGACAATCACAGCTCCTGAGTGACTTTCCTTGTCTTGGTTTGCGGCAGGTCCCTGTGTGTGATCTACCATGGACAAAGTGCTCTGCAGCCTCCTGATTCTGGGATCCGCAGTGATGATGGCCCGCGCATGTCCCAAATACTGTGTCTGCCAGAACCTCTCCGAGTCTCTGGGCACCCTCTGTCCATCCAAAGGCCTCCTGTTCGTGCCTCTAGACATCGACCGCAGGACTGTGGAGCTACGGCTGGGTGGGAACTACATCATCCGGATCACCCAGCAGGACTTTGCCAACATGACGGGCCTGGTGGACCTCACACTCTCCCGCAACACCATCAGCTCCATCCAGCCCTTCTCCTTCGGCGACCTGGAGACCCTGCGCTCCCTCCACCTGGACAGCAACCGGCTGACGGAGATCCGCTCAGACGACCTGCGGGGGTTGGTCAACCTGCAGCACCTCATCCTCAACAACAACCAGCTGAGCTGGATCTCCAACGAGGCCTTCGAGGACTCCCTGCTGACGCTGGAGGATGTGGACCTCTCCTACAACAACCTCCGCGGAGTGCCTTGGGACTCCATCCGCAAGATGGTCAACCTGCACCAGCTGAGCCTGGACCACAACCTCATCGACCACATCGCCGAGGGCACCTTCACTGACCTGCAGAAGCTGGCCCGGCTGGACCTCACCTCCAACCGGCTGCAGAAGCTGCCCCCGGACCCCATCTTCGCCCGGTCTCAGAACAATGTGGTGCTCACCACCCCCTACGCCCCCCCTCTGGCCCTCAGCTTCGGGGGCAACCCCTTGCACTGCAACTGCGAGGTGCTGTGGCTCCGCCGGCTGGACAGGGAGGACGACATGGAGACCTGCGCTTCCCCTCCCAGCCTGAAGGGGCGCTACTTCTGGTACATCAAGGAGGATGAATTCGTCTGCGAGCCGCCTCTCATCACCCAGCACACCCACAAGCTTCTGGTCCTGGAGGGCCAGACGGCCAGCTTGAAGTGCAAGGCCATCGGCGACCCCACGCCCGTCATTCACTGGGTGGCGCCCGACGACCGGCTGGTGGGCAACTCCTCCAGGGCGGTCGTCTACGAAAACGGCACTCTGGACATCACGATCACCACCTCCAAGGACTACGGGACCTTCACCTGCATCGCTGCCAACGCGGCCGGGGAGTCCACCGCCTCCATTGAGCTGTCCATCATCCAGCTGCCCCACCTCAGCAACGGCACGGGCCGCCCCTCCCAGCCAAAGTCCCGGCTCTCCGACATCACCAGCTCGGCCAAGACCAGCAAGGGCGAAACCAGGAGTCCGCCGGAAAGGGTGGTGTCGGTGTCGGAGGTGACGGCGGCCTCTGCCCTCATCAAGTGGTCGGTCAGCAAGGCCGCCCCCAGGGTGAAGATGTACCAGCTGCAGTACAACTGCTCTGACGATGAAGTGCTGATCTACAGGTAACAAGGGAACGGGGGGGTCACAATGTGTTGTGTGGATTTAAAACAGCGAAAAGCAAAATCATAGCCTAGCATCTCAGTTTCCTGAACAGAATAATTGTCAAAAGGGGAGAAAGGTGCTCTTCAGGGTGTTGTTTTCTGTTTGGCACTCTCTGTGGTGATCATCATCGTCATCACATCATCACAAATGTATCTGGGCTCTTTAAGTGAATAGCACATGAAATGTGAAAAAATACATGGGAAGGGAATGGTTCTGCAATAGCATTGCCTGAGATGTCTGTGGTTAATTGCATTGAAGCGCAAACATATCACTAACAGATCCCCCAGCTCCTGTCACAGAAGACATGTGCAACATCACCGCCAGGTCTAATGCTCAATCAATAATGGACCATGCAAAGTGTTCAGTAAAATGTCCTTTGTTCGGTAAAGAAGATATGTTAATAAATATGTCAACAAAATATAAATCACTTTGTTCCAAATATAATTTTTAAAGCTGCTTACTGTCTGTCACCTGGTTACCGGTGTCACGTTAAGTTTAGTTACCCCCGTTTTTCTAGTAGTAATCTACATTAATTACCTCCAAGACGTGGTGTTGTTACGGATACAAAGACAACATAACAAAAATAAATTAAATCCACCATATATTTGATGGAAGAGAATACCACTGTGCCACCACCATTTAAGGAAAGAGGTTTTGTTAGAATTTTGATGTAGCCACTGTACATGCCAAGTACTGGTCCACTGACACCACTTACAGCAGGAATCTCGTTTTCCTTCAGGCAATGGTTTTACCAGCTATGATGGTAAGATAATCAGGTTATAAGTCGGAAATACTGTGATTTTGGGGTATTAACTGAGGTGTTTTTGGTAACCCAGCAAACAGAACATTGCACGAGTCACACCTGGATAAAATACTGTAAAAGCACGTACTGTAAATAACATATGAACATAGACACCTACTGTAAGTCATACAGTGTGTAGTCTCTTCTAGCTCAGTGTTTCCGATTCTGCATTTCAAATTTCTGATTTACGGATTTTGAATACTTGAATCATGTCTCCTTGCAGAAGTTCAAGTATTCAAAATCCGTTCAAGAATAAAAATATTCAGTTCCTTCAGCCTGTCAGTGCTGGACAGTCCCGTAATACTTGTATCAGTTCTCTTCTCTGTTCAAGACTAAAGAGACTAATTTCCTTCAGTCTGTCAGTGTAGGACAGTCCCTTAATACTTGCATCAGTCCCCTCACAGTCTCGTCTGTTCAAGACTAAAGAGACTCTGTTCCTTCAGTCTGTCAGTGTAGGACATTAGTTTAAAAACAGTAATGTACCTAGTTGCTACTCTGGGAACAGCATTATCCTTTCTGTATCGTGGTGACTGAAATTGTATACAAAATTCTACTTAATGCCTCACTAGTGGATGGTGCAATTTTATTATAACATCAATTGATTTAAATTCTGACATTCTAGTACTTGATCTCACAAACCAAAGCTTCTGTAAACCAAAGAGCCCTGTTGTAAAATAGGTTTGTGCTTCAGGATATGTAAATTAAAATGCCAGAAGCATTCAAATAGTATTTAAAGTGGTACAGTACAGTAGGTGCCATATTTTACTGCTACTGTAAGTCACCCCTACTGTGTCACTGAGCTTTAATAGGAATGAGCCCTGTTGAATATATTTTACTATGTAACAGCTAAGGTGTCACATGAGACACCTTATGATGATTTCATATCCACCTTATTCTAAAACTTGCCTGGTTGGCTGTTTACTTGAGAAAAAATAGCAAGGTCCCCTGAGGCCTTTTACTGGCCCGAAGCTTGAATTTATTACTAGGATCAGAATTTTTAACTCTCATAGATGAATTCTGTTTTTCACACACATGCGTACACACTCACACCTGCACAAAAACTCCATTCTTTCTTCTTGCTGTTCCATTCCAGCGGCACTCCACACAGGCTGAAATTTTTTTAGCGAGAGGAAGCCAACGGAAGTCATTTTCCTGTGGCAGGACACCCACACATTTACTGTTTGTCATGGTATCTTTGTGTGGAGGTTCTCTCAGATTGTGACCCCACTCGGATAGTCATACGGTACTTACAGGTAAAACTCACGTGCTGTGACTCCCGGTGAGTCAGTGCAGGAGTGTGGAAGGATTCCACACAGGTTCGTCACCCCGTTATTCACAGAGGGGCTTGCGAGTCCCCGGACACAGGTAGCTGGGGGGACTGAGAGAGCTACAGACATCTGCTGCGCTCACAGGAATACAAGAGTAAAACCTTCCCTCTGTTTTTACAGGAGGAGGAAGAGGAAAGGGTGAGCTTTAAAGAGGAAAGCAGAGGTCATTGAGCAGAACACTACAATATTTTCTGCTGGTTATTGGTGGAATGCAATAGACAGAATACCTGGATTAAAACTTCATTTTACTAATATGCAGAATTTCCTTTTCCTTCACTACCTGCTCACATGCTGGGGCACCTAGATATGGTGTAAATCATGGAACAGTACCGGTGTATTTTATTTGATTCGTTTTAATTCAACTATCTCCTCACAAATGCAGCTCACTTTAAAAACACTGCGCATGTGCACCTTGACCTGAGCGTTACTTAGAGCTCACCGCATTCATTTATATTCAAGCAGCATCAACAGATATTTGAATAACCTCTTGTAGCCTTCCACGATCAGATTCCTGCTGAGTAAATGTATTTGTACAACTCACTATGTCACCTACATCTGTCCTGTTCTGAAAACTGATTAAATTGTAGGAAGACCCGGCTAATTAAAAGCCCTCAGACTATGAATGAATTTCAATTATCAGAAACACAATTTAGTCCATTAAAAGCTGCCTGTCATTCATACTAATACATTAAAGGCATATTACCTGTTAAAAACAGATCTGTAATTACTTTAACTAGCCATAGTCAAATATTGCATTGCAGGCCACAGATGTTAATTTCTGAACTGTTGCAGACCTGTCATGTTTTAAGACGTGATAAGACGTCCCCTTGGTAAAGCCGCAGGCACTATCTTCTGGCACAGCTGACGAGCTGGATGAAACAATCACCTAATTGGCAGTTCTCAAGCAGGGCCTTTCGTATCCTACCAGACATTGCTGTGGACTCCAGGACTGATCTGAAGCTTTCAGAAATTCCAGTTTCCAATGCAAATGAAAACAGTTCTCAACTTGAAAGCGGGGATTAAGGGCATAACATAATACAGTGATGCTAATTGAAAAGGCTGGCCTGATGGATTGCAGTCTAAATGCAGTTTACAAAGTCTTATATTAGTTATGGACACAGACACAAAGGTGACTTCCTTTCTCTGGGGACACTGAGACTTTGAGTTCGGAGTTGTTTGGTTCAGAGTCCCAGCACTGCTTTGATCCAAAAAGCCCTATCTGCCTTGTGGACAAGACGTTTTGGGAAAACTGGGGGATGACAACAACCTCATTTCCAAGCCTTTGAGATTGTTACCTACCCCTGCATTTGCTAACCTGGTGGGAGCAGGAAAGCAAAGCCCTCCTCACCATAGTGTTAACCAGGAGTTCTTTAACACTGACTCCTTCTGGTCTTCAAGACGGCATAAGACTGAGGGATGAGAAAATGTAATTCAACCTGTGTAAAATGCCAATGTGAAAGAGCATTAAGCATAAGAACAAAAGAACTGTTAGAAACGAAAGGAGCCATTCAGCCTATCTGACCTGATTTTTAGTTAGTAGTTAATTGATTCCAGGATCTCATCCAACCATTTCTTGAAAGAAACTAGGGTATCCACTTCACCAACCTGAAAGAGGAGCTTGTTCTACACACCCACTACCATATGTGTTCAGAAGCCAGGGTATGGGATTTCATATGTCAACTCATCTGGTTTCTTGTACTATTATTGGCAGATGTGGTCCCTTAACTTCAAATCATGCCACTTCTTAATCCATCACCTTGATGAACAGAACTCATAAATAATTCAGAAAAAAAAACACGCTATGTCAGCTCCTCTCCTTCCATAGAGCCTTGGTGTGAATTTTTCATACAAACGTACACTCTTAACCCTTACAGGAGCCTCAGCTACTCATCAATGTGCAGTAATGTATTCTACTGGTCAGGGAGTATTCAAAGCCATAGTACAGAGATGAGAAAGGTTTCAAATGAGAGGAGCCATTCAGTCTATCTGATCCCTTTAGTAGGTAATAGTTATTAAACCACGGATATCATCCAGGTGTTTCTTGAATGAAACCAGGGTCTTGTCTACAACAACATGGCTGGGTAGCTTGTTCCACACACCCACAACCCTTTGTGTAAAATGCGTCCTGTTATCAGTTTCCACTTATGCCCCCTGGTTCATCTAGATTGTCTTTCTACACATGGACAAATTAAAGTATTGAAAAAAAAGTCACTTTCATATGTTCTTTCCCTCTGAAATTATCTTTTTTGTGCCTTTTTTGTTAAAAGGCTTCACAATGTGTTTCTGCAGGGATGCTGGAGATAATACATTAAGTGCTTTTGAGTAAGAAATCCTGGCAGACCATTTAACACTCCCCTGTGTAAAAGGAGCTGGTGGTATTTTTTTCATGCTTTAAAGTGTCCATTAGTTAGCAAGATTTTTCTTACTGAAGATCTAATACACTGGCATGGATTCAAACAGCCCAAAAGCACTAGGAGTCACATTGTGTTTTTATATTTAGATGAAAATGAATCAGAGCCATGACTAAAAGCAGTTATAAAAAACATTAATATTAGAAATTAAATAATGCAGAAATTAACATGGGATTTTCCATGAATTGAAATCTATATTTAATTCAGCCATTGTATGAATAACAGTCTCTTAAAAAAGATTTCAGAAAGAAAGTATCTATATATTGTGAAAATCATTACTTTCATATCTAGTGATCTCATGTGGCCAAGTAAAGTTTATAAAATAATAAAGATTTCCAAATGTCAGATTTGCGAAGTCATTCTGCAATATAAAGGAAATTAATGTTAACTGAGAAAAGTTCTCAGTTCTGGATGTGTGTTATCTAATCATTAGCAGTTCTACTTTGTTATTAAATATTGAATTACTTAAATTAATTAACATTTTCAACACAACCCCAAAATCCATCAACCCAGCACAGACAACTAAGTCGACTACAAGAGTATTACTAAGTACGAGACTACAATTCTTTGTGCAAAATGACCAGCAGGTCATTTATTAAATCGCTAGAAGTGCAAAATGGCATTTTTGAAAATTGAAATATTGACACGAGCCTGTTGTACCCATTACCTTAAAAAAGGTTTCTTCCTGAACCTGAGCAGAAATTAATTTGTGGTCAGCTACAACAGGATAGCATTTATCCGTAGCAACATGCAGTACATTTACTGTATACAGCTGAGCTGCAGCAATACAGGAAAGTACAGTACCTCACCTAAGGGTGGAACAGCAGTGGTTCACTTGGGATTTGAAACAGCAACCTTTCAATTTCAAGGTCCACCTCAACTACTGTTCCACACTACTGCGAGAGTAGAGCAGTGAGGTGTCCTATGCTCTTTTTCATTCCTCATCTTCCTACGATGTGCATAAGATAATAAGAAAGGTTACAAAAGAGAGGAGCTTTACAGGTAATGGGGACTCCCCTCCACCACCAGCAGTGTGCAGCCCCTCCTGGATGAGGCGACAGCAGCCATAGTGCGCCAGAACGCTCACCACACACCAGCTCTCAGTGGGGAGGAGAGCAGAGTGATGAAGCCAGTTCAGAGATGGGGATTATTAGGAGGCCATGATTGGTAAAGGCCAATGGTAAATTTGGCCAGGATGCCAGGGTAACACCCCTACTCTTTTCAAGAAATGCCCTGAGATTTTTAATGACCAAAGAGAGTCAGGACCTCGGCTTTACGTCTCATCCAAAGGATAGCACCTTTTTACAGTATGGTGTCCCCATCACTATCCTGGGCCATTATGACCCACAGAGACGGCAGGGTGAGCGCCCCCTGCTGGCCCCACTAACTTCCCTGCTGAGCCAAATGAGGGTTTATAACTTTCTCATATTCTTACCATGGCTTTGTATACTCTCTGACCAGAAGAGCACATTTCTGTGTCAATCACACGGCGCATCAGACTATAGCTGCGCAGTGATGAGTAGATAAGTCTCCTGTAAATGTTAAAGACTGTTCATTTGCATGAGAAATTCAAACCGAGGCTCTACAGAAGCAAGGGGAGCTGAGACAGCTCGTGATTTTGTCCAAATTATTTATGAGTTCCCTTCATCAGAGTGATGGATTGAGGAGTAGGATGACTTGAAGTTAAGGGACCACATTTGACATGCCAATAACGGCGCAAGAATGACAACACTGACAGAAAGCAAGCTGACTGCAATTACAATGTCTTCATATTCTGCCAAACTGCCAGCACATAACATTAACACCCAGTTAATTACCTAAATGAGTCACATGGTGCACATGTTCTTGTGGTGCTGTCTTAGGCAGGAGGTGTTTGATGAGATACAGAGATTTTGTCAGCTGTGTATGGTTTCCAGTCAGGTTGTGCTATCTTTGTTTAACCTTTAATGTGAGTTACAGTAGGTCTTTGCATAAACTTTAAACAATCCAAAACCCTATGTGATATTATGTTACAGATTACACAAGCAATTTGATCACCTACTGTATGATGTTTCATTCCAACTCAGTTTAAACCCTACCTGAGACTGAAGTGGTGTTGGCCACACTCATCACATGAGGTCTGATGAAGTTTCAGCTGGTTCTCTTACTTACATCTTTGTTATGTATCTGGGAAATATGCACACAGTGACTTTTTACACTGGATTTATGTGCCCTGTCTGTATTTTCATGATTTGTGTGACTGTGACCCCTGGATTTACTGCCAGATTAAGATTATTAATCTTAATTGAAGACCCTTAACAAAGTGATCGTGTGACAACACAGCCTGGCTGTAAATCCAGGGGTCACAGTCAAACACGTCATGAAAACTGTTTTGTCACCCTATCACTTTGTTAAGGGGTTTCAATTAAGATTAATAATCTATAATAGGTTATAGTAAGTAGATAGTAATGATAATAAACAGATTTGATTGATCATTGTAATAGATTACTAGTGAATAGATTAGATATTGTTCATTTGTAGTATATTACTAGAAAATAGATTGGACTAATAATCTGTAATTACTACTTGATGATAAAAAGGCCTGACAATTATACAGTATGTGCTACATGAAAATATAAATAAAAAAGGGTTTGTACAGTACTACTGTTTGATCAGCTTTGTAGAATGCCTTTTACAGTAACCATGGGCATTGTGGATGTAATCCTTGAATATTATCAAGATCAATTATGTACTTAGTATACTAATAAATATATTATATTATATATATGTTAAACTTCCATCCATTTTCTATCTGCTTCATCCAATTCAGGGTCTCAGGGTCGCTAGAGCCTATCCTAGCAAGAACTTGACAGAATACACCCTGAACAGGACGCCAGTCCATCTTAGGGAACACACAGACACAAACACCTACACTCACACCAGGGCTACCTTGTTATGAATAAGATACATATTTTTGTCGGAAGGAAAGGCTTCATTATTTGTCCCACACAGAGGCATATTGCTGAGTTATGTTTGCAATTGAATATACAGGTTTTTAGAACGAAATGTTGTAAATGGGTTAGGCAAGTGGATGTTTCTCATTTATTGGACTGTGAATTGGCGGTTTGGTCTTGGTCAGTGATTCTCTCTCTCATCGTGTCCTTTCAGGATGATCCCAGCATCCAGCAAAGCTTTCCTGGTGACCAACCTGGTGTCGGGAGTCCAGTATGATCTCTGCGTCTTGGCCATTTGGGATGACACAGCGACCACCCTGACCGCCACCAATGTGGTGGGCTGTGTCCAGTTCGTCACCAGAGAGGACTACCCTCAGTGCCGGTCACTGCACAGCCAGTTCCTGGGGGGGACCATGATTCTGGTCATCGGTGGGATCATCGTGGCCACGCTGCTGGTCTTTATTGTCATCCTGATGGTCCGATACAAAGTCTGCAGCAGCGCCAATTCTGGGAAACTCCCCGACGTGAGCAACACCTACTCCCAGACTAACGGGGGACACAACGTCCACAACGGGGTGCTCCCCCAAGTGAACCCCAAGGTGGTGGTACGAGACGAGCTGATGGAGTTCAACTGCGGCTCCCTGCAGAGCAGCTTGTCATCCTCGTCCAGCTCGCTGGCCAGCAGGGACTGCGATGACTACAGCCTGCACAGCAACAAGAGCACGCTGTCCAACAAGTGGAGGCCGGTCTCCTCCAGGTCCCGGCCCAACCTGGATCACCTCCTGGGGGCCTTCGCCTCTCTGGAGCTCAGGGCCCAGAAAAGAGAGGCCGGGCCATCCGAGTCGGCCACCCCTACTCTGGCCCCCCATTCGGATAAGGAGCCCCTGCTGGGCCGAGGGGACTCCAAGCTCAAAAGCCTTCTCACGTTACCTCTGGAGAGCAAGCCCAAGCGCAGCCACTCCTTCGACATGGGCGACTTCACCACCACGCAGTGCTGCACTTACCCCAAAAAGATAAGCAACATCTGGACTAAGAGGAGCCTCTCGGTCAACGGGATGCTTCTGCAGTACGACGACGGGGACCTGGAGGAGAGCAAGGCCAACTACGACAGCTCGGAGTGGGTGATGGAGAGCACGGTTTAAGCAGATCGGTGTAGTTATTCTGGAACCAGGAGTTACTGAAACCCTGGCAGGAGGGGCTCCCCAGCTCTGTATACCCACACCGCATGAAGACCATTCGTGTGATACCTGTTGGCCTTCTGTCACGCGCAAACCCTCAGTGGGATTTCCACAGCTCATCAACCCCTGTCCGTCTCCATCCTCCATCTCTCTGCACAGTTCCAGGATGTCGCTGCCCTAGCCATAAGAATGGATTGGCCTGGGAAGCACTGGCAGAAATTAGATTCCCATCCAGCAACCTGGAATAAAATCGTTCATCTGATGACTTGGAGTTTTCCAAAAGGATATCAGTGCCCGGCGGAGTATCTCCCGGGATTGGAATTACCGTTGGATTGAAATACTTGCGTCTGAAAGCTGCCCCTTATGTCCCTACCAATCCAAGGAGACGTACTGCAGAGAAGAACTGCTTCAAAGTGGATACAAATTGTTAGGTTTTGAAAGACGGATGTTCAAAGGAATAACATATATTGAATGAAATTGGATATCGGCTACTAATGGAAAGGGACGAAGTCTGGCGTGAAATGCGCCTCGTCAGGGAAAGAGGAAAACGTGTACAGTGGATTCAGATTCCTGCTTCTTCCCAGGAGACTGTAGGAGTTTTCATTCGTAGAGATACGAGAGAGAGAGGATAAGCATGCGCCTGCTCATCTCCTTGAGCCCCTACACGGCCTCTCCGACATTCGATTTAGAAACCAGCTGCTCTTTCATGGTCAGGCGGGACGTCCCGGGTGGAATGAGAAATCCGTTTACCAGAAAACAAACCGCCATGAATCCCAACAAGGGTGTAAACCTCGCAGTTTCTCTAATGAGGAACAACAACAAGGCTCAGAAATATATATATATATTTTAAATAGATTTGTTTATCTGGATGTTTATTTTTATTTAACTCTTTCAAACTGGACAGAGGAAAGATAGCTGAACCAGTGACCTTTGGAATACACGAACCTGACACTAGAAACCATGAGGCTGCAGCACAACTGGGCTTACAATGACATGAAAACTCTGAGATAGAGCAGGTTTTGTCTAATAACATATCCCTTCATAGATCGAAATGAGAAAAGCACAGGGTTCCTCAACACTACTGCTCTATTTTTTATAATCTGGATTACCTTGCCAAGAGACAAAGGGAACATTTCTTCGTCTGGCAACATCCACAACATCTTCAGTATCTCACTCAGTATGCTGAGTTCTTTTCAGTGGACTTATATACAATATATTTTTTCCATTGGTTTGTTAATTAATTTGTTTTGGTTTACCTTGCATACTGTTCTGTATATTGCACATTTTGTACAATAATTAAGTGAGTACGTGAGGTGAGAGACTGTATAGCAGTATTTTTCTTTTTCTTTTTGGAAAAAAGCGAGGAGGTGCTAAAACTGAAAGTGTTCCTAAAACGAGTGTTTACTTGATCTTGCCTAGTCATGTTCCTCACCCAGAGTTGTAGAAAATGTTTCTGTGGTCCAAACTTTTTTTTTTGCTACAAAGAAGGATAAATATCAAGAATTCCTAAAAACCACAATGCTTGTGTTTTTTTTTAACTTCACCCCCAAGGTCTTGATTGTCTTATAGCTGGTGTGTCTTCCTGTCCTATTACAGTAGGTTGTTTCCTCTACACTGGTTCCATGCATTTTATAGGCCTCTATATCTGTTCATCGTTGGATTGCACAATACTGGACAGATCACACAGATCAAGCAGCTAAATTGATCCAATTAAGCAAATAATCAGATTGTGATTTTTAGGAAAAACCTAGGCAGCATAAAAACCAGAAATGCTGATAAGGCTTTTTCCAAATGAACAATTATTACAGCTTGAAGCAATAGGCTGACCTGTCTGAGCTGCCTAGTCAGGGAGTGTGCTGGGCTCTTCTGTTTTTCAGGGTATTTGAAGGTGTAAGCGTGTGTTTCAGCTGTGCCAGCACTCAGGGCTCTAATGGGCACGGGTTCAAGAGTGGCATAAAGCTCCAGCTCTGTAGGAGAATTTGGAAAGAGCTATTCCAGGTCACCTGAAACTGAAAACTTGAGGTAAAAGACATTGCAATAAGTGCATAAAGGCATAAAGTATATTAGAGGCATATAAGGATTTGTGGTATATATATTGGCATATATATTGTATGGTATTTTTTTTTTTTTTTTGCCCCTGGTCCTGAAGTGTTGTCTTGAAAAACTTGTGTCAATATATACAGTTTAACACCAACCTACGGTATCTGAAAACACAGCCGAGAGTCAGATGAAATGTCAGCAGAGGACATGTCTTGGGAGGAAGCTTGGGCAACAGAGCCCATTGGATCTCACTGTAATGTTAAATACATTACCTTTAATTAAATTAATTAAATCAATTATATGGGCAGTAGGAATGCTTATGATGTCCACCCACCAGAACACAGCTCCAGGACCAGTGCCAGATCATTACGGGAGGAGACGAGATCTTTTCTCCATAACCTTGGGAAAAATGACAAGTGAAACTAAAACAGTTGTCAATGAAAGAGCACAAAAATGTGCTGATCTTTCATCAAGTCTTTAAATCCCATTTAAATTTAAGCAACCAAATTGAATTAATAAATGTGCCTTTGCAATTTAGTGGACCCCTTAATACAGTAAGAAATAGTGTATTTTAAACACATTCTGTATGGAAATCACGACTGGGGCTGGTCAGAGCACTGCAGGCATTAATGTCCTTCTGGTGCTCTTGTTGCTGTAGAAATCTTTAAAGCTGCATTACTGAAGATAAAGATACACAGCAGCCTACTGTAATAGACTAGAACTAATGTTATTAATTAGATATATGTACAGTATATGAAATGTGAATATTTAGAAGAAAGCCGGTAAGGGAGTTAACACTGCTGTCTTCCATTTTTGGGGTCTTGTCTGCTTTGTATCTACTAAAGGTGCCTTGAACCTCTTGGAACAATGAAGGATATGAAGCATTCAAAATATTATTTTAAGTCAAGGCGGTGATCTTCAGAACCAGTGAAACACAAACCTACGTGGAAGTGCATTTAAAACGAGGAACAAGAGGCAAGTCTTTAGACAAAGGGTGGTGGGAGTGTAGAACAGGCTACCCAGCCATTTTGGTTGAATTAATATACAGATTTCTTTCAAGAAACGGCTGGACGAGAGCTTTGGTTCACTTTCCAAACAGGTTGAATGGGGTTAATGGGCCCCTCTGGTTTGTAACCGTTCTGATGGTCTGTGAGGAGTTGGCATACTTTCCCCAGTGACCCTGCGGCTGTTTGCCAGGTGTTGGAAGTCCTTCTGCCTTCCTTCTGCTGGCAGGGTTAACTCTCAAGTGTCTCCTGTGATTGGCTTGCAGAAGAGGACGCAGCCCTCAGCAGGAATTAACAGCTGTCTGATAATGAACAGCTACTGGAAGTGTACTGTACATGTGTTTAGCATATGTGGAACTTTAATTCAATGGAATAGAATCAAGGAAACATTTTTAAGTGTTCAAAGTGAGTGAAACTTGACATTTTATTTTCCCTTATCTAAAAGTAATCTAACCAAAAATGAAAGTCTACATGATTTAATTAGATTCATTTTACAATATTTGAAAGGGGCACTAGAGTTCTATTCTACCAGAATGCAAGTTATTTTGTTTTTTAAATTGATTTAAAACAGAAACAGATGCTTACTGTATACACACATTATAAACACAAATTGCAGGCACTAGACTGTATACACACACTACACAAATAATATAAACACACACACTGTATACACACACTATAAAAACCTGCACTGCAGGCACTATAAACACACACTATAAACACACATTGCAGGCACTACACGCATTGTAAACGTACACTTTATACACACATTATAAACACACACTGCAGGCACTACACACAGATTGTTTATACATGCTATGTACACACACTGCAGGCATTACACACACTACAAACACACACACACAGTATAAACACACTGCAGGTACTACACACACACTGTATACACACACTGCAGGCATTAAACAAACTGTATACACACAGTGCAGGCACTTCACACAGACTGTATACACGCACTATAAACACACACTGCAGGCACTACACACACTGCAGGGACTGAACACACACTACATGTAATGTATACACACACAGCAGGCACTACGGACACTGTATACACACACTGCAGGCACTACACAAACACTATATACACACAGACAGCTGTACTTGACCCGGCCTGGTTCAAGCATTCCTCAGGGTGAGGTAGTTGGGGTTCCCCTCAAAGGAGAAGAGGGGAAGGCGTGGAGCTCTGAATGGGCTGCCAGGGCAGCCATGTGACAGGTTTGCCCCCCCGATTAGTTAGCAGATTAGCAGAGGGATTTTTACAGATCAAGCCTCCACACCCGCCTCAGCACTGTCCTTATTAGAAATCAAGGAGACAGGCTCCTGGTGTGCCCTGCAATAAGACTTTAATTCATATAATCTGTCAGAAAAGGTGCTTACACCAGCAGTGCATGAGCGTAATCTGAAGAAATCTGCAGGGAAGCATGTTTTCAGCAATGTAGCCGTGCTGTTAGAGAATGTGGGTTTTCTTTATGACAGAAGCCATTTGTTCCAAATGAAAAGGCACAGGCAAAGGAAAACCAAAACAAAAGGCATTATTAAAGAAATAGCAAAGTATTGAAATTCCAGTAAGGAGAAAAATCTACTGTATAACTGAGCTGAGCAGAGCTGGCTAGTTCTAACCCCACCCCCTCCTCTCCTCGTCCTCTCATCTTCACCATGAGGAAGAGGGGCAGCAAGGTCCTGTTTGTGCAAGACAACTGGTCAACTAACAGGCATGCAGGCATGGCTGTAACCAGGGGTGTGTCTGGAGAGCTGGTGATCCACCTCTCAGCTTCACAGTCCACATTACACAGGCACAGCCCAGTGACTGATACTGAGAAAACAGACCTTTCTGCTGAAGGGGCAGAATTCAGAATTATACATGCACACACCTTGTACAAACACAACTGTACAGTGTATACACACTCTATACAAGCACTATTACGCTGTATATACACACACTACTGTATGTACTGTACACATTTTGTATACAATCACTATTACACAGATTGTATATACAGACACCATATACAAACACTACTGTATATACACACTGAATACAAACTATTAGACACACTGTATATACATACACACAATATATAAGCACTACTACACATACTGTATATACACACTACTGTACTGTATACACACTATTATACTGTAGATACACACACTATTGCACACTATACAATACACACACACCTTATTCAAACATTATTGTATATACACACAGTATACAGGCACTACTGTATATACACACTGTATAAAAGCACTATTTCACACACTGTATATACACACATTATCAAAGCTGTATTACACACACTGAATACAAACCCTACTACACATACTGTATATACAAACTACTGTATATAAACACACTGTATACAAACACTACTGTATACAAGCGCTATTACATTCACTGCATATACACACTACTGTATATACACTGTATACACTCACACAACGGACATTACACACACTACACACTACTGTATATTCACACTGTATACAGTACAAACATTGCAGACACTATACACACTGCAGGCACTACACACGCTACACAGACTACACACAGTACTGTATATACACACTGTATACACATACTGTACAGACTAGACAAACACTGCTGTATATACAGTACACACACTGCAGGCACTACAATAAGAAGAAAGGGTTTCTCCTGAGTGCAGGACATACATCATTGCCTGATTGATGTCGTCTTGCCTCTCACAGCCTCTTAGTTCAATAACACATGGGTGCTTC